CGACCTCTGCACAACCCTCCCCAGCTCCACCTTCAGAACTGAAGGCTTGAAGTCATTTATACCAGGCAGTGATTTACATGGGATTAACCTCCTCTGAGGACCTGGATGCAATGCTCAGGGTCTGCCCTGTGCTCAGAGCCACGTGAGGAACTTCCCACCCATGGGGCCAGACCCTGGACACACCTTCACAGCGAGGGCCAGGCTGGCTCCAGTTCCCTGATGCTTTGCAGAACACTCTGGCATTTCCAACCAGGTAGTAGCCAGGGTCACAGGTGTATGTCACAGACATGCCCAGGGTGAAAAAGGCTTTGTCCTGGCCGTTGTGATTCCCATTGTGGACCCTTGGAGGCATGGGGCACGGTCGCACTGCAACAGGGAGACAGCAAGTCTCAACTCAGTGAGAAAAAACAGCGTGCAAAAGGGAGAGAGTGAGATTGATGATGGGTTAAAGCCCAGCACAGGAACGCAAGGGGGAGAGAGTGGGTGTGAGGCCACCCTGATGGGTTAAAGCCCAGCACAGGAACGGCCCCATCTGCTCAAGTTGTTCCTGCCCACAAGGAGCACCCACCAGGCCGGGCTGCCCTCGGGGGAGCAGCAGGGACCTGCACTCACCCTTCCTGCACATGAACTCAGGTGGATCCCAGGCCCCCCCTGGCAGGCACCGAGTCTCATAGGTGCCCTCTGCAGTATAATCAGCATCACAGTCAAAGTGAAGCATCTCTCCAGCTTTGTAGGTGCTCTGTGGCTTGTAGACCTTCCCGTTCTGCACCTCAGGTATCTTACAGCCAATTGCTGTGGAGAACATGGACAGCAGCCTTTAAACCTCAGTGCATGAGGCAGATCCTGTACACACAGCCCCTGCCCATCGCTGCCATAAGCCCACCTGCACAGGTCCTACAGGACACCCAGATCCTTTCCCCAGCCTCAGCCCCAGCAGTGAATCACCCACCCACCTTCGCAGCGGGGCAGGGGCCTGCTCCACGCCCCACTCCCCAGGCACTGGGTGGACGTGTTCCCGAGCAGCTCGTAGCCAGCCTTGCAGCTGTAGGTCACGGTCACTCCCCGGGAGAACTTGTCCAAGGACTGCCCAGTGTGCTGCCCGTTGGCGATGTTTGGTGGCCGAGGACACGTCACCTCTGCAGAGGGAAAAGAAATTGCCCTGTGGGTTCAGCTCTTTGCCATTTCGTGTGCTACTGGAACTGATTGGGTAATACCAGGGTAACGTCCCGAATTCTGCCCAGCCTTTGTTCCATCTGCTGGACCAAAGCATTGGTTAACAAAAGGTGCAGCAGCACTAAGATGACAATCACATTGTCCCAGAGCACATTACTAATGACAGCCCTGACAGAGCTCACAGGCACATCATGGGGTTTGGCAGAAGATAGACATGGAAGCAGCAGGAGCAGGGAGAGGTGATTACTTCTCATTGCGGGAGGAAGATGAAGATGTCCCACATCTGACCAGAACAGTCACAGAAACCCCCTGGGGCACAGCTCCTGCCCTCCCTGCAGCTGCCCGATGGCTCCTAAGTGTGCTGGGGAGGTTACAGCCTCCTCTGCACAGCAGCTCAGCCCCAGGGTTAACTTCTCCTCATCCCTCCTGGAGCCCGAGGCTGCAGCCATCCCTGTGTCCCACCCCAGCTCGTTTCTTCTGAGCTGTTTCTGGGAGCTGAGCTGGCAGCACTCTGCACTGAGAAGCGAAGGGAGGAGGATGGACACATCCTTGCTTTGTGTTCCCTCGAGTCTGAGAGGACTCCAGAGGGAGTTTTCCCACGGCTGGCACCCCGTGCTGCCACACTTACCCTGTTTGCACACTGGCAGAGGGGGGTTCCATCTGAAGTCAGCTCCACACGTGCTTGTGTGGGAGCCCTGCAAGGTGAACCCCGTGTTGCACGTGAAGCTGACGGTGTCCCCAGCCCCGTAGGAATAGCGAGTAGCAGAGACACTCTTCCCATTCTGGATGTGTGGGAATGGGCACCTGGCAGCTGGAAAAGGGAGAGACATCAAATGTTGTTAACTTACCTGGCTCTCAAACTGCTCCTGCCTGTCGTGGCTGCCCTGGGGCACCCGGGGCCACCTGCCAGGCTCTCAGACCACCCAGCCTTGTTTGCCATCTCACTCTCCTGCCTCACCCGAAGGCATTTCTGGTTATCACAGCAAGGTTCACCCTGACAGAGCTCGAATGCAATCTGCTACTGGAGCACGCTCCTTGTCTTGCTGCTGTAAGATGCTGTATCCCATAATCAGCTTCACTCTGGCAGCTCAAACACATAGGTCAAGCCCCTCGTTACTAGAAGGAGCTGGGCAGGTTGTGAAGCACTTGCTGTAGCTTCCCACAGCAAGACTGTAACTCCTTTTCCCCTGGCCACAGCAGGGCACAGGGTGTCCCCAGTGCTAGCCCAGAGGGGTTTGCGTTAGCAGGAGGTCAGAGGCTCTGTGGTGCTCAGGGTCTGGTGTGCCCAGGTCCACCTGGGGCCAGACCATGGCTCCTACCTGCCTCTGCAGGGAAAAGCAAAAGGACCAGCAAGGAGAGGAGCAGAGACGAGGAAGAGGAGGGCTGCAGGAGGAAGGCCCAGGAGGCACAGACCTGCCCGTGTCCCTTACCTTGAGCCCCGGGTGCGGTGGCCAGGAGCAGAGCGGAGCTGCCCAGCAGGCACAGGGGGAGGGTGAGCACCATGCTCTGCTCCCAGCCCTGACTGCAGCTCCCGGGGCCCCACGGGGAGATATGAGCACCCCACTTCCCCTCCCACCCCCACAAGCAGAAGGGGGTGCAGCTGTGGGGCTTCCCAGGGCCACGGGACAGGAACCTGGGGGCTGCCCAGGACCCACCTCACCTCTGGGGAGGCTGCAGGTCCCACACGCTGCTTCTGCTGCTGGTTTTGGCACGGGGGGATGGGCCCCTGGGACAGCTGTATGGAGGGGGGGTCAGGCACTGAGGGGCTGGTAGCCAAGCTGTGCCCTCGGCGGAGGGCACCCTCGGCTTGGGGAAGGTGCCTGGGCTGTGCCCCACGTCCCAGGGGTGACAGCAGCTCTCCCCAGGAAGGGGGCAAGGGGCAGGGGAAGGGCAGAGCGGGACCTTCCCTCCTCCCACACCCGGGGCAGCTGGGCACACGTCTGGCCCCAGGGCTGTGGGTGCTCGGGCCAGGAGGGGCACACAGCCCAGCAACACCGTGGTCCCAAATCCTCCTGACCCGAGCCTGGCTGCTCTCAGACTCATCCAGGCCAGGATCATTCCTCACCCCTGGCTGGAAGAACAAAAACCCACAGATGGGACGTTCTGATGTCTGAGCAGCTGCAGCAACCTCCAGCTCCCCACCTCACCTGGTGGGGGATGCTTCCAGAGCCTAAGACAGCAGCAAGACACATGTTACTCAAGCCTTTTTACTCCTTTTATTGACAAAAAGCTTCCAATATTTACATCTCCAACATTTATACTTCAGAATTGCACTTGATTGGCTACAAGGATTATAAAGTCCAATTATGTACAAGTCAATTACAAACACAGTAGATAAGACTTTTGTTTACCTTCAACAGTCAACTCTGGTGACCATGACCCTAAGCTACATTGCAGCATTCACTGTTCCTTCTGTTTGGTGGCAGGGAGTTTATTTCAAGCTGATCCCTACATCAAGTGTTAAATCATTTGGAAAAAGACACTCTGCAGTAGGAACAATTTTGCTGGGATTAAAAGAACTAGAAGGGAACACAACATGAAGCTACAAGGCTCTGCATTTGTGTTTTCTTCTTCTCCTCACACACATGGCTTACAGTAAAAGGTCTACAAAAATAACCAGCAATCTGCAAGTGCTTGTTCTGCAAGAATAGCTTCCAAAAAAGAGGATCTCACTGTGCCCCAGACAGAACAACAGGACAGAGCCCTGCTGGGAAGGAAGAACCTCGTGGGTCTATGCAGAACAAGACTAACAGCTAGATGGAAATGGCTATTTGTGCTTTTTACCTTCTAATTAGATGCATGTTCCTGTTAACAGGAAAGCTCTGGGTGAAAATGCAGAAACAGAAAGTACATAGAGACATTTTGAACACTTCCCATTCCCAACTGCACATCACAAGAGCCTCAGATTTAACCCTACATCAGGCAAAACCTCAGAAACCTGCTTCACCAGCAGCTAAAAGTTGTCTGAAGCTGGATTCAGGACTAAGAAGTTTAAATCCCATCAGTTTTGTTTCCCTTATAAAGAGGATTCCCAGGAAAACATCAAACCTTCATTTTACAAGACCCTATTACCTCTCTAACTAAGTGATCACCTAGCTAGGCTGAGTTCCAGCTGGGAGAGGACACCAATACCACAGCATGGGCTTAACATCAGCCACACCAATCAAGGGCTTTTTTTTGCCTGGGTTTTTGATTTTGACAAGGTGCCTGAGGTCCTGTCCCCTGAGCTGTCCTGCTGGCACTGCCAGAGCCAGACTGGCCCTGGGGACAGCAAGTTTCCTCACTGGCCTCTATCCACCCTCAACACAATGACAACTAGGTCAGGTTAGGATGAAAACAAGATGCACAGAAGATGCAGGGTTTGCATCCTGCTCCCCACCAAGGAGTAAACAAAGGCTTTGGCTGGATGTGCACGAGCCCACTTTGGGTGCAGGTCAAAGCAACAGTCACCCCATCAGCTGCCCACCAGCCCTGCCACGAGTGAAGAGGCCAAAAACCTGCTTCTCCTCCCAGCATCACAGCAGCCCCGAGGTGTCCTGGGGCTCAGCTGGCACCCGCCTGACCCACCGTGGGGCCCAGCACCACCCGAAAAAGCCTTTTAAGTGCAAATCCAGACGATGATTCCCTGCCTCAGAGTGGCCCCGGGCAGGTGGCACTGGAGCAGGGAGTGAAGAAGTTCACACGCAGCAACTGTCTGACGTTTGGTGGCACCTGCCAAGACATCTGCAAGTTCTGCATGGGGCCTGGCAGCACCTGGCACGGCCAAGCTCCACTGCCCCCGGGCACCCCCCCGGCTGCACTCCCCCTGGGGCTTTCAGCTCACCAAAAGCTGCAACGCCTGGAGAAGCACTGAGTCACTGCAGGGGCAGGAAGGGTGTTTCCACAAGGTATTCAGAAAAACCTCGACATGCTACAAAGATAATGCCAGGGCAGAGACCTTCATCTGAAGCTTAGAACTAATTTTAGGACGTACAGGAAGAGCCACAACAGTGGTTCTGTGTGATAAGGCATTTAAGTTTTTCCTTCTGTCTGGTAACATCACTGACGTGTAGGCATTGCTATTTGCACAGTGGTTCAGACTCACCTTCAATTAACAGCTACAGCTGAGCTCTTATTGACTATTTTCAGTGCTTTCAGTACTCACAGGTAATACCCACGTTACACACATTTGTACCAAATAATTTTTGTAAGCATGTACCAGTTACACGAAGACATTCACAGTTAATCCTCTCAGCAGCAGCAGGAGCACTTTCCACCTCAGGACACTTAAACCCCCGAATCTTGATCAGTACCAGGCACAACGTGCCCTGAGTGGGGCTGAGAAACTGAACCTGGGCAGGTACCTGAGGTGCAGGATTTCCTGGAGCCTACTCTAGTGCAGTGTGAAGGTCTTTGGCACGGCTGGTTTCTGAGCAGCATTCTCAGCTGGGTGGCAGAGGCCTCTCAGCTGGGTGGCAGAGGCCTCAGCCCCACAGGAGCTGCTGCATCCACTGCCACGTGCAGCTGCTGCAGGCAGAGGGGTGAGAGCTCCCCAGGACACAGCCAGCACCTTGGCTGGCATCTCTCCGTTTCCAATTCAAGGCAAATTTCGCAGGAGGGAAAAACCAGAGCACTGGGAGCAGTGTGGTGGAGTCCAAGAAGCATACAGGTGCCTCCCCCCACTGTGCCAGCTCCCTCATCTACACGTTCATAATCAGCATTGCCAGGAGCAGGGGGAAGAGTCCTAAAAGAGACAAATAAGAAGCTTCACTCTTTGCTCCAAACATATTCATCTTTCCCCTCCCTCGTCCCTTTCACCTTCTCCCTCTCTTTCTGCATGACCTTAAAGCAATAACAATATAAATCTGAGAACAGACTGTAGCAGAAAGCTTTCAGGGCTGTTTCAAGCAGAACACACCTGGGAGAATAACATAAAGATAGGCAAGAGTGGGGTAGGGGGTTCAGGAACACGTGTGACTTACCAGCAATGAGGATGTTTGCTCCACCTGCAAAGGAAGCAAGCCAAATGTGAAACTTGGTACCCCTGCAGCACAGTAACTATCACACCACACAGCATGCAGCACCTCACATCAGAGCTAGTGCACAGGGAAGACAATTCGAGCACAACAGGACCCCTGCACAGCCCAACTCCACAGAGCTGTGCCTGGTAAAACCCACACGTATTCACCAGGCTACATTTCCACTACCCTGTGAGTCCATGCTGCAGCCTCATCATGCTCTCTTGGCACTAGATTTTAACTGAAGCTGGTTCAGGAAGCATCAAAGGCTTACTCCTTAGCAGAATTATCTGAACTGAGGAATCACAGAAGAAGGAAAAACCAGACATCTTGAAAACAGAGAGGAGGCAGCAAGACAGACACAGGAGACAGTCACCTCTGCATTCAGGAGCAGGCTTGCTCCAGAATACCTGGGATTGATCTCCTGCAACATACTTAAGAAAGGCTGTTCCAAGAAGGGTGAACCCCTCCTTGCATTTATAAGCTACAGTTGAGCCATGGGCAAAGTCTGTGCCCTTTGTGCCATCATGCATCCCACTGCCAGTCAGGGGATCTTCACAGAGAACGTCAGGGAGCTGTCCTACAGGAGGGACATCACCTTTGCACTGAGGAGTAGGCTTGCTCCAGACTCCCTGGGACTGATGATCCACTTCACAGCGAACAGAGGCTGCTCCAGCAAGGGTGAAGCCATCCTTGCACTTATACACCACCACGGAGCCCTGGGCAAAGGCTGTGCCCTTCGTGCCATTGTGTGTGCTGCTGCCAACCGTGGGGGGATCTCCACAGAGAACAGGGAGCTGTCCTTCAGGGGGGACAACAGCAAGAGTGTCTGAGTAATTCTCCCTACTGAAATGCTGAAGAGTGTGTGAGGAGGAGGTACAGCCAGATGCCATGCATGCAGCAGCAACTGGAAATACTTGGAGCTTTCTTGCCTGGTACTGGACCTTGGCTACTGCCCGTGAGCCACAGCTCCAGGATCTCACCCCAGGAAGTAAGCCACTGAAGTGCCTCATCAGGCCAGAGGAAATGTTTCAGCCATTTCTAGCTTCTCATAATGCTACACACTGACTTTGTAACACATGGTTTCAGCATTGTACCAAATCGAGTGGACAAAGTCCTAACATCCAGTTATCTTCATCCTTCCCTGCTAATTAAAGAAAATTTTCTTCCTATGACTATTTTTCCCTATAATTTCTGTTCTTCCTTTGCTCCTTCCACCTTGTCAGCATAATTTCTGAATTGTACAAGAATAGTGCACCAAAGGCCTCACAGCAAGAGTTGGTTTTGAAGTCCTGAATTTTACAGTTGATTAATTAAGAAGCATAAGTACGAGCACTGCAAGCCTGCCAGCAAGGCAGCCACCCAAACACAGCTCCAGCTACCATCATAATGGCTCCACGCAGGGTTTTTCCACTCTTACTTTCACAGTATGGAGGTGCTTTATCCCAGTCAACTCCATTTCCTGACACCACACACTTGGCAGATGGCTCCTTTAATTCATACCTAAAGAAAGAAAAGATGTCTAGTACTTTCCAGAACCCAGAAAGGGTTTTTTCCCCCCACCTCCCCACCACTGCATGTAACCAAGATATTAATCAGAAGTCGCCCTTGCCACAGCATGGGATCTGGCCACATCAAAGCTACTAAATAAGGGCACTAATAAGAGCCAAACTGAAGCAGTTCACTGCATTACCAAGGGGATGTGTTAACAACCTGTGTTGCCACATGCTCTTCTCTCTGAAGACATAACATTGCTACATGCTTGTCTCCCTGAAGACATAATATGTGGTTTTACTGGAGACTTGCACTGGGAAACTAGGGGATGAGAGGGGCTGGATGTTACTGCCTGTGATCCCTGTTGGCTGACCCCCCAGTCGGTCCCTTCTGAGCAGTGACCCACTCACCCAGGGTGACAGGTGAATTTCACAACTGTCTCAAAGAGGAAGTTGTCTGCAATGACATCCCCGTTCTTTATCACAGGAGGAGCACACTGCTGTCCTAGAGGAAAAGAAAGCAGCAAGGGAGTGACTTCAGACCCAGAGATGGGCATGACCCAAATTTCAGAGCGACATCTCAAGCCCAGATCACAGCCAGTCAAGAGAGGAGAGGAACAGAGATACTCACGTATGCAGAAGTCTGGGTCTGCAGACCACATTGCATCATCCTGGCAGGTGACATCAGAGGACTTCCCAGGAGCTAAGGCATAGCCTGGTTTACACTGATAGGCCAGCACAGTTCCACCAGGAGAGCTGCCAGCCACAGCCCTCGTCAGCTCGGCGAAGGGGAAGTGTGGAGCAGGACCACAGAAGACTAACAAATGGAGAGAGAAGCAGGGCCAGTGACAGAGGAGTGCCCAAAGGGTCAGCAGTAACAAAAGCAAACTGCTTTAACCCATTTGAGCAGCAGTGCCTGGGATACAGTTTGCACCTGAGCCATTTAGCAAACAGCACAGGCCATGGTTTGCTTCACCAGAGAAGAGATGGGGGCTGGGCAGCACCTCTGAGCAGCAACCCAGCCTGCAGGACTTCAGCTGAGCTCAGGAGTCTCACCTCCCCAGCAGGTCTAGAAGCTGGTAAAACAAACCTACTGGGTGTAGGAGGCAGTTTTCTCTCTCTTTTCAGTATACTTTTGGATCGTTTGCTGTTCACAAATAAGTAGCTTCAGGTCTATGCATGACACCAGCCTGGGCTGCCTCGCTGAGGTCCCAGGCCACCATGCTCTGCAAGGGTGTGGCTACAAGCACACAAGGCTTGGCAGCTGACCTGCTCAACAGCTTTTAGATCTACCTCATTGCAATTACTCACATGAAACAAATTTGTTTGCACTCACTTGGGTCACACGTTGGCAGCGGCGGCTTCCAGTTACTGTCTGCTTCACAAGTAACTACACTGCTGCCTTTCAACAGATGACCAGGATTACAGGCAAAGGTCACTGTATTTTTATACGTGTGCTCATGGCCAAAGCCAGATAACCGTTTTCCATTTGGCACTTCTGGATTCTTACATCTGACCACTGGAAATGAAGAGAAGACAGATTATTAGCAGAAAGAAAAGCCCTGCAGTGACACCAGAGGCTTGACGTGAGAAGCTCTCTAAGAGAGCTGCTGTCCTTTCACTTCAAGGGAGGCAGGTCCCCAGTGGGGTGCAAGTACTCCAAGAACAGAGATGTCATTAAGAAATTGCATGTGAGAGCTTTTCTTCTTTGCAGGAAGCCCTGGGTATGGGCAGGAAAAGGGAGGCTCTCTATGGGCTGAAGAATCCATTAAACCAAGCCCTGCCTCTCACCACGACTTGGGAGACCACCACATTAAGCTTTCTGGGAATCCTTTTGGATTCAAATCAACCTTCTCATGTTTGGCAGCCCATCGAGAACGCAGAGGTCAGGAGAGGGATGAGGAACAATGTCAGAAGAGTAAGGACAGAAATAGGCATTTACCTTTGCATTCAGGGGCTGGCCCACTCCACACTCCATCGAGCTCATCTGCTGTACAGTGAATTGAGGCCTCTCCAATAAGAGAAAAATCCTTGTTACAGGTGTAGGTTACAGTCATGCCAAAGCTGAAGTGGTCATACTCATTGGTGAGCTGCCCATTCTTGATCTCAGGAGGTGGAAAACATTGAATAGCTGCATGAGAAAACAGCAAGAAAATGTAAACACACTTCCATCAATTACAAAACTGAGGTCTAGCTGCTAAAAAAAAACAAAAACAAAAACAAAACACCCCAAAATAATTAAACCTTAAGAAAACACAAGGAAGCAGCCCTAAAAGAATCACCTCAACCTAAAGTCTTGAATGTGCTTTTATATTCTGAATGTTTTGCAGGGTTTTTTAAACAGATAAATGGTAGAACAGTAAAACAGACTCCAAGAGGAGACATGACACAGAAGAGGCCTTCAGGAGGCAATAAACATGGTCTCACCAAGCTGTGTGGGACCCTCACCTGCTGGGGGTGGCATTTTCTACCTTCTCTGTGCTAACAAGGACAGGGCCAGAATATTTTTTACAGCAGCAAACCATCTAAATTACCAGCAGCTGATGGTCAGGGCCATCCCACAGGATGCTAAAGAAGCCCAAAGTGCACCCACAAAACTCTGAGCATTTATCTCCCCTTGGAAAAGGGATAATTTGGCTGTGCAGCCATGTCTGAAGGCACCCCAGCCCCATATCAGCACAGCTCTTGCTAAACAATTCAGCAACAACTGCTGACAGAAAACACGACATGAGTGAGGCAGCGTCTGCACTGCCCTGGCAGGAAGGGCCCCGTGTGCCTGCACTGGCCAACACCAACAAACAGCCTCAGGAGCTGCTTTTCTCACAGAGCTGCTGCCAACATCCACAGATCCTCCTCAGGATTTAATTTTCATTCCCAGCTCAACTGAGAGTGCATGTTTGGGGGAGGGGTAAGGAGCCAGTCTCGTTAAAGGCCAATTAATTTGTGTTAGGTGCCAAGAAGAGAGTATCCACCTGCCATTCCCTGAACTACCAGCTATATTCTGATACCTTTGAAGAAGAGATGTACACAAAACCTTGAAGACCTGGTTACCTTCACAGAATGGAACGTTATCCCAAAAAACACCTTTTTCTCCAATTATACATTCAGCAGTCGACTTCCCAATTAAGCGGTACCTAAGAAAAGAGAAAGCTGAATCTCTTGGAAAACAAAACAGTGAAAACAAACTTGCAAACTCAAAGTTTTACAGGTTCTAACAGTGAACTCTGAAGGAACCAAACCCTAGGGGAAAATCAGTTAGGCCTCCTATAAAATGCAGTTTTCTCAATACCTACAGAAATGCTTTACACAATGTCGCTGGAGGAAACTTAATACTTGCTCATGGTCCTGTGAGCATGGATCCACCTGCTGCAAGACACCATCTGCACCCCAAGCCTGCTCTGCCCCGTGCTGGGCACTGCTGGATCCAAACAGCCACGGCTCCCCTGAGCAGAGCTGGGTGTCACAGATGAACCACAGCCCTTCTCCTTCCCCCTCACCCTGCTCCCAGCATCCCCAGGACACCACAGCCCTCTTCCCCCGAGACCCCGTAGCTCAGCTGCAGACAGCTGGACCCAGCACACAACAGCAAACACTGTGGGAAACAGCAAAAACCAGGGAGCAGCAACAGGAAAGGAATATGATATGAAAGACCTGCAGTCTGCAAAGACCACGCTCTCCTGCCAAGAACATAATCTGTTTTAACAGCAAGAGCAGGAGAGACCCTGACCCCACAGCTCCGAGCGCCTCCCGCCATGCCTCAGCTTGCCAAGGAAACAGCCCCCAGCTATTCAAAGCCTCTGAGTCTCCCATGGGTGCTGTCTCCCATGGGTGCTGTCTCCCAGCCTCAGCTCCATCGGCTCACCCGGGGTTACAGCTGTAGGTTATCGTTGCCCCAAACTGGAGGTTGGTCATGGGGCTGAACTGGCCGTTGCTCAAGTCTGGTGGACCACATGACCTTGCTGGAAAGGCAAATGATCAGCATTAGCTTTATTTTACATCATGATAGTGAAAAGCAGGTGACAGTGCTGTTCAGCGTCACTACAGACTAATTAACCACTTATCAAGCAATTAACATCTCTGATGAGCAAGTACCAGCACTTTCAGAAGAAACAAAGGACCCACACTAACTTCTGAAGAACTGCAAGTTAAAAGACTAAGCAAATAAGAGGAACAAATAAAGCTAAGGAGAAATGATCAAAGCCAAGTTTTATCTGATTCTTGAGGAGGACCCACACTAACTTCTGAAGAACGGCAAGTTAAAAGACTAAGCAAATAAAAGGAACAAATAAAGCTAAGGAAAAATTAACAAAGCCAAGTTTTATCTGATTCTTGAGAAAGGAAACTGATCTCAGAGAGCTCAGGGCAGATATATCTTAGCCCACAGGTAAAGGACATAGTGCAAAGGAGAAGAGGATGGGGAGGGACTTTGACCCTGGGGACAACAGGCTCCTGCAGCCTCTTCCACACTGCACCTTGTTTCTATGCAAATACATTATTGGGTTTGCACTGTATCACCAGATAGCAACGTAACTAAGAACAGCAGAGATAATCCCCCAGAGATTAAAGCTTCTAAGTGGAAAAGGCAACCCCAGGCAGGCTCACAGGGTGGGCGTGTTGTCCTGAAGCCAGCCCTAGAAGCAGTAACCCAGGAGCATCCCCCATCCCCACGGTGCGGGTCCGAGAGTGGGGTCTAGGGTGCAGAGGGACCCCCCTGCCCGGCCCCAGGAGCGCTCCAGGGGGG